TTTATCATTATTGTTTTTGTTATATAACAGTAACATATTGTTTTGATTCCTTTGCCTTGGATTAGCAAAGCTGCAGGTGTGACAAACACCCAACCTATTCACCTATATTAGCATTTATTTTGATTGTCTTCCTTCCATTCCCTTCCCGAGGTGCCTGCCGGTGGGTGGACCAAACAGATTCAAGAAGAAATTCGTCTCTTCAAAATTTCCGGCCGGCGATTTCGCGTGCCAGAGATTTTGTGAAAAAAACCAAACAGTTGTGACTAAAATGAAAAATATCCCTCTTCCAGACATTCATAGAATCATAATAGTTTCCTATTGGTGTTACATCTCGAAAGCCCGTTGCAGCTGACACAGATTGTTGTTGGTGGACGGTTGTGATAGTAGGCCTGTCAGCAGCAGCATAAATAGCCCAGGCCCATTCTGCACTTAAGCGGCCACTTGGTCTCGTTAGTCTATATAATACTACTAGCTTTTTACCCGGCCCGTTGGCCGGAGAGATTTATTTTATAATTTATATGTTTAAATCATTTTGGATCTTCTAAATATTTTATAACAGAGTTTGTAGTATGTCTATATTGAAATTGCCAATATTTAGCACACTCACTTGTAATGCTTCGGTTTTTGAATCATAAATTATGTCGCTGTCACGTCCCATTTAGAACTTATTTCAAAATTTGTCAACCAAAACACTAATATTTAGCGTACGCCAACCTGAACCACACACACATATATATAGTTCAAGCTAGCGTGCGCCAGGAGTACGCTAGACTCTTGTGTTCATACTACCATACGAACATTGGATTTTACTATTTAGACCCGAATTAACCGGAGTTTTTTGGGTCATGATACTATACCCTAACCTCTAATAGGTGAACTCTAGTCCCTAATTTTGTAACCTCTAATTTATGCACATACTTCGTAATTCCTATCTTCTATCGTATCTTGAGTTAAATAAAGTATAGTATACATTGATATTACATATACATGTATATATATGTGTGTATATGTATATTAGACTCAAAATTATCTAGAGATCTTGCTTTTACCCCCCATAACGCCAGACAACCATTGGGGTTGTCTATCGTTCGATATGTAATATATAAAGAGGCAAATACTAAGATCCTACTATTTATTTCTTATCCTCTCCCACTATCCCCTTTATGGAGAATAAAAAGGTAGGGATGACAGGATCATAGCTCAATATGGTTTTATTATGTTCGTCGTATTGGAGGTTATGTTCTTTTTTGCTTTTTTTGGCTTCTTTTTCATTCTACTTTATTACCTATGGTTGGGATAACCGGATAAGAGGTATTTAGCCCTCGAAAGGGGTTGGGAATCCAATACACATTCATGATCCTCGAGTTTGGACGAACTCTCGACCAATGTTGTAAAAATTACGACTTTTTAGTGAGAAATTCTTAGTAAAGATACTTCATTATCGGATTTATTCATCCATATTGAAACGTGACACACACGGTAGCCCTCATGATGACTAAATTCTCTAATATCGACTCATTTTCATTTTGGATGTTTGTTTTTTTATCCAGACACTTAAATTTAGTATATTATACAATATGTATCAATTGTTAATTCTTGAAGTTTATACTAAACCTCAATCGGTGGTCATTGTTTATATGTTGGCTTAGAATCTCAATCTAAGGCACTCACATACACTATCGAGGATTTTGGTCTTAAAATGATCGTTGAATGTGTAATTTTCAAAGATTTTATCACTTATATATTAATAATTGATAAAGAGTGTCTCCAATACACAAATATTTTAAGTGCATTTAAAATGTCTTATCATTTGAACAATATCAGTGTATTTCATTTGATTATTTGCATTAACTTATTATCTTACACAACATATATTAATTCGTGTTTCTCGAGTCTAGACGAACTGACAACCAATTTAGAGAGTTGAGATTATTGGATAAAGATACTTGATTCCTGGAAAAATATGTTTATCCCAATTGACGATCTTACTAAAAATTACCAACCTTTATTTGGTAAATGCCTAGGTCAGTAGTTGATGAAACGTGATGTTTATCGTAGATTCTGAACAAAGATTTTTCTAACCTTCACATATATTATTTTTCAAGGTATTTTGTGTCTCATCCTAGGGTATGAAGTCAAAGTTCGTCAACAATCATACTTAAGTCATTTTGAAAATTTTGATTTATAATCTTCGAAGATAACTCCAAGTCTGAAAGAAAATTTCTTAGCGTACGACTTAGAACCTCAATAGAGCTTGCTCAATCAACAGGATATAGAGCAAATATTATTAATGTGAACTTAGGTCACATTATCAAATAATTGCATATGCGATTCCTCTTCATTTGAGGAATTTAAGGTAGAACATGATCTGAATGAATAAGAATTTTTTTTTTAAATAAATAACCGTAACTACTCGATCAAGATTATACTCTGACATTTTTCTGAATAATACAGTTTTATTTTATAGATATATACTGTACGAATAAGAGAGTGTTTCATTGTAACAAAATATAAAGTAATATAGTTTATTTTTCAAAGGTAATTGAATGTCAAATGTTTATTTTCTCTCTTTTCATATATATTTTGGTTTAATCGATTAAAACATAATTGTTTATATGTATGTTTGTTCATCAAAATATAACTTATCATTGAATTTTAGTAAAAATGAGTAGAAAATTTATTTCATAAGGTTTAATCAGATATTTTTTATTTAAATAAATGTGATATATGTCACTCTCTGTTTTCTTATTTATATTTTATTTATTTAACAAAAAATTATTATTTATGTGTGTTTGGTTAAGTTTATCAACATGTAACTTATTATTAAAGAAAAAAAAATTAATGGATAAATGAAAAAGAATAATCGGATAAAAGAAATGGAAATATTAAAGAAGAGAGAGGTAGCTCCATAAATACATTAATAACTAATTTTTTTGTTTGTAAAAAGTTGTCCAACTTGGCAAATTGTGGATCCTCCAAGTGCTTATGTGGCAAGAATTTTTTTTTGAATTGCCATAATATATAGTATAGATAACCAAGCAAGGCAAGCTGCGGGTTACGACGGTAAGTTGGTTCATGTCTGAATTTTTTTTGGGTAGAAAATGGGAGGCTAAAAGGCTTTATGGGTGAGACCCATTATATCATATAAGATCCAAAAATTCAAATTTGGATTAGAAATATCAAACCCGTGGATTCCTAATATTCGATTAAAAAAGTACGAGAAATCGTAATTTACCTTGTTCGCGACTCCTTCTCTACTCCCCATTTTTTGGAATTCGGTTTCTATAAAACTTACTTCACTTCATCATATTACCAGAAACAATATTGTTTCACAAGGTAACAAGTACTTGATTTTGGTTCATAAGGCTGATTTTTGATTCGTTGAATCATTCATGTCTCTTTTCTACTCAAAATTCACTATTTTTATTATGCGTTTCCAAAAAAAAAAAAACAATACAACAATAAGCTATACACCACATTACATTATCAAATTTCATACCTCACCTTCCTCCGGCCAAATGGCCGGGTCCTACACTAGTATTCGTTAGATTTGGAATGGCTAACGGAATCTTTGGCTCGAGAGAGGAAACGACGTCGTAAATAATTTAATTAATTTTTTTTTACAGGAAATGATATTTAGAGGGACGGACACGGTGGCGGTCCTGATCGAGTGGATACTGGCGAGAATGGTTCTCCAACATGAAATCCAAGCTAAAGTGCAGGACGAGCTGGATCGTGTCGTGGGCAAATCCAGGCCGTTGATGGAATCCGACGTTTCATCGATGGTTACCTGCCAGCAGTTGTGAAGGAAGGCCTGAGGCTCCACCCGCCCGGCCCACTTCTGTCGTGGGCCCGTTCAGCGACTGCGGATACCACGATAAACGGCCACGACGTACTGTCACGGACAAACTCTTGGTCGTGCCGCACTAAGCACTCAAGTCTCGTTAGAGCGCTAAGTCAGTCTTGCTCGTATTTACTCAAACTCACAAGTATGGAAAAATGCTATAGAGATGGAAACTCTCAATTTCTGGATCTTGTCACGGACATAGACTTCCGAAGTCCGTGCGGCGTCTTGAGGTGCACTCATTCCTCAAGACCAGCCTCTCTGCATACGCATGCCAACTGGTTTCGTCCTGCCTTGGGCTCATCAGGGAGACGGCAATAGCCTCCGACCAGTTGTGCCTTCTCTTGCAATGATCCCCTTCATAGCCACATCCCGACTCAGCCAGATGCGATGCATAGGCAGACAACGCCTTATCGCTAATGTCGCCCCCTTTACCCTTCTCATGGCAAGACAACCAGATGACAACGTTCTTCAGACGATCAACACGGTCACGACATTTCGGGTCGTGACATTCTCCACCACTCATAATGCAGCACGTCCTCGTGCTGGTGAAGAATGATTCTCTCCGCAGCATGTATTGCAACTCTCGAACCGATTGTGGGCGTCCGCATACGATACCATTCTCTGATGGACAGGCTCCGATCGCGTCTCTCGCGCTAGCCTGTTGTACCACGCGCACATACCGCTTCGCCCCTCGACATCAATCTTCACTCTTTGCTTCTGTTGCGCTAGTACCTCAGTCGACCTTCACCCTACGCTACTCCCAGCGTTTGTACCTCAATCAACCTTCACCCTACGCTCTCGCTAGCGTTAGTTCCTCGGTTGATCGTCTGAAGAACGCTGCCATCTAGTTGTCTTGCCATGAGAAGGGTAAAGGGGACGACATTAGCGATAAGGCGTTGTCTGCCTGTGCATCGCATCTGGCCGAGTCAGGATGTGGCTATGAAGGGGATCGTTGCAAGAGAAGGCACAACTGGTCGGAGGCTATTGCCGTCTCCCTGATGAGCCCAAGGCAGGGTGAAACCAGTTGGCATGCGTATGCAGAGAGGCTGGTCTTGAGGAATGAGTGCACCTCAAGACGCCGCACGGACTTCAGAAGTCTATGGTCCGAGCCCTTGAAGTTCAGCCCAGATAGGTGGAGGCTGAGTTTTCGGTCATGGGAAGCGACTTGCGGCTTGCTCAGTATGGAGCTGGTCGACGGACGTGTCCCGGGAAGGCGCTGGGTTTTGCAACCGTCGTCTTTTGGGTCGGGACGTTGTTGCACGAGTTTGAGTGGGTTAACGGTTCGGAGTCCGACCCGGTGGATATGTCCGAGAAATTGAGGTTGTCGTGCGAAATGGCGAATCCACTTATGGTGAAGGCGAGACCAAGGAGATAGTCAGGAATATGATCGAGAAAATAAATGGTTGAAGTTAGTATCAACTACTAGTGTGAGTTAGAAAAAAAATGTACATGTATGTCTTTTTTCTTGTTTTTAGTTTGTTTGGACTTTGGAGATAAATGTGTGTGGGTTACTTTCGAGATTTTCATAATCGATATAAATGTGTGTGCTAGTTAAATTATCATTTTGTTAGAGATAATGCCGAATGGAATAGTAGTATAGAACATTTGCATGCTAAAATAACATATTTTAGAAACTAATTAATTTACCTGAACTATTTAGAGAGGAATAATTGGACAATTGTAAAATCAACAATTTAAGCTCTTTGCTAAAACGAGCTAAAAAATAGTAAGTAGCTTCTGAATAAAACAAATGATGGAGGTATAGAGAGAACATAAAAAGAGTCGTTTAGGGATTGTGAATTGGTGATGATTTTGTGGAAGATCAAACCATCGACGAAGAAGGCGAAGAAGAACAAGAAACAAAACGCACGATATATTATATTTTGTCGTGTCTGTTTCATCTGTCATCCTCCCCAATGCTCTCTTTTTCTCCTTCTCTTCCTCCGTCGGTAGCAACGGTGGTGCATGTGATTGGGGAATAAATCATGGTTGCCGAAGAAGTTATCATCGGAAGGACCAACGGCGACGATGGCTCGTTCCTCCTCGGAACCGGTACTAGCCGTGAAATATTCTGGGGCGCCGTTGATGCCTCTCCTTCTAATGTCGGACTAGCCATTGTCGTGACAGCCGTGGCTGGTATCGCCGTGGTTGCTACCCTCGTTTATACGAGTAGGTAAATGAATCGTTTCCCCTATATATATTTCGTTGCATGTTACCTTCTATCTCCTCGTTCGTTGAATCAAGATCCACCGTCATTTTCATCCATCAAAGAAAATCCATAGAAATCGTCAGAAAGTGTTTTTGCAATGAATTAAAAACTTACGATTTTTACGCCTCTTTGTCGTTAAACACTTCTACATAGAATTGTACTTTTGACTGCATTAATCAGGATTTTGTTACGTATTCAATGGTAGTCTGAAAACACCTTGGTAAATCATAGGAGGAGAAAACCAGCTGCTCTCCTACCACAACAATGGAGGGCTTTATTTACACCAGATGGCAAACTCTCCGATGGGGGTGTTAAGTTCCTGAAGAAAGCTCGTGTTGCAGTATGTTTCGACTTTTACTGGAATTTCTATCCTTTTCCGAATATTGAAATGAGGCTCAAGTTCTAGACAATAAGTTCTTTAGAGAAAAAAACCCTAACTTATGTAGTTGACTGTGACAAGACATTTCTGCAATTTTATTCAGGGTATAGATCCAAGCATCAGATCGGAAGTTTGGCCATTTCTCCTGGGCGTGTAAGGATATTCACGTGTAATTTCTCCTGATTTCTTAAATTATAAAAGCCTATGTCAAATACTAGTTTGATTGCTTTGTCAAATCTATTACTACTTGTTTGCTTCAGCAATTTATGATGATTAGTGATTATGATCTACTAATTGTAATTTCAAAATAAGTTCATTTCTACAGATACGATGTCGGGAGCTCGAAAGAAGAACGAGATAAAGTTAGAGCTCATAATAGGTATTAAAGCGTGATGATGCACTTTATTATTTTGCATCACTTTTCTTAGTAATACGTGTGGTATAAGATTTATAATTGAAATTTTTCTAATAATTCGAGTTATTGAGATTAACTGGTTCTCGACACTGAATCAAAGCATTCAGTGATCGAATGATCTTCTATTCGAATCAAAGCCTATGATATTTCTGAGACCTATGAGAATTTTAAGATTATATGAGCGATTTTTCGTTTGAGAGTTATGAATTATGACATATTGTACTGTTCCTACAGAAAAAAGTATGAAGATCTGAGAAGACAGTGTCGAAGAATCCTTAAGCGTCACGATACAAGCTTTAAGCCAAAAGAAGTTTACGTGGGCAATCGCAGGGAGAATGGTTGTGCAAATGAAAACAATCCAAGCTGTTCCCAACGACAATGTTCCTTCTCCACCACCACCACCACCAGCAACCCATCGGAAACCTCCGTGGGTTTCAAAGAGTCCGACTTCGTAACATGGCAGAGAACAATGCGCGTCGATGCAGTCAGAGCAAACGGAGAATGGATCACCTACTCACCATCTCAAGCATCATCAGTGTCCGAAGCAAGAGCACAACGACTAGCCAAGAGTGTCAGGTTGAGAGACTACAACCACCTCGAGCCGTGCAGGATCCACCACGCCGCACGTTTGGTCAGGATCCTCGAGGCGTACGCGTTGTACGACCCCGAAATCGGGTACTGTCAGGGAATGAGCGATCTTCTCACTCCCATCATCGCAGTGGTGGACGACCAAGACGACTTCGAAGCATTCTGGTGCTTCGTCGGGTTCATGAGGAAAGCCCGACACAACTTCCGCCTCGATGAGATGGGGATACGAAGGCAGCTCGACATGGTGTCGAAGATTATCCGGTGTCAGGACGGCCATCTTTATGAGCACCTGAAGCAGCTTCAGGCGGAGGATTGCTTCTTTGTTTATAGGATGGTGGTGGTGCTTTTGAGGAGGGAGTTGAGCTTCGAGCAGACGTTGAACCTGTGGGAGGTGATGTGGGCGGATCAGGCGGCGGTCAGGGCGGGGATTGGGAAGTCAACTGGTTGGTGTGGGAGGATGATGAGATTGGGAGCGCCTCCGACGGATGATCTGCTGCTTTATGCTATAGCGGCGGGGGTGTTGCAGAGGAGGAAGATGATCATCGAAAGGTTTGATTGTATGGAGGAGATCATGAGGGAGTGCAATGGCATGGCGGGGAACTTGGATGTGTGGAAGCTTTTGGATGATGCACATGATCTCGTGGTGAATTTGCATGAAAAAATTTAGCGACGGGAATGAGATCTCTTTCTTTTTTTGGATGAGCGGGCGGAGATTCAGAACATGGTCAATGTTCTGAATCGATGTTTGAATCTATGGACAATATGGAAGAGAGAACTGGTTGAACTGGAGTAGCCAAATGCATCATTAACCTACAGTCTGATCCAAGTAGCATGAGGCACGTGCAATCTCTGTGTGAATCAACAAGGGCCTCTTGCACACAACTTAACCAATATGGTTTCCTTTCACTTCCATGTTCTTGTTCAAAATTCATTATCTTAAGGTCCCTTGTAATATTTTGATCAAAAGTATTGCCTATAGTAGAACATATTTAACTTTATCTTTTTGTTTCATCTCACCTATTCTTTCACAAATTTGAGTCGTCCCTCCCTTGCTGGGATATGCAACGGTTTGGTTCGAACCAAATAAACATTTGGATAGAATTACCTCAAAATAAATATAATATAACTCGATTTTTATCCTATGAATTTTTATAAATACTTGATTCGCCTGCCCTCTTGGACATGTCGTCGTTGCAATAGTCTTCTTGCGCGCTATTGGTAGGCTGGGCAGGATGCAGAGAGTGGGATTAGATGGTTGTCTTGGTTGGCGGCGTGTCAGAGTAAATTCCACGGTGGGTTTGAATTTCGGGATTTTGACATTTTCAATGTTGTTTTACTTGCTAAGCAGCCTTGGAGAGTTCTTCGGAACCCTACCAGTTGCTTGGCGAAGATCTATAAGGCTAGGTATTATCCACACCATAATTTCTTGGAGGCAAAAGCGGGCTCTCGTCCGTCTTGGGCATGGCAGGGTGTTCTCGAAGGCCGTGACCTCCTTCTTTGCGATCTACGTTGGAATGTCGGTTCTGGTACTTCAATTCGGGTTCTTGCTGATAAGTGGTTACCGACTTCTCCTCCTTCATCACCTCTACCTCTTTCGGGAGCCTCTTTTGATCACTTGCGGGTAGCTGATTTGATTGAGTCTGATCGCCGTTGCTGGAAGCGGGAGCTTCTAGGCAACCTATTCACCCCTACCTCTATTCAGATCATCTTGGGAGGATTGCTTGTGTTATAAACGCGCTGCTACGAATCGGGAAATCGCCGAAATCGATAAAGCAAGAATACGAAAGTGAGAACCGAAAAACACAGACACACGATTTACGTGGTTCACTAACACGATGTGTGTTAGCTAGTCCACGGGCGAGAGAGAGCCAGTTTCACTATACCGAGGAGATTACAAATTACAGAGGAGTATGAGAAGTATTTATAGTACTTCTCCATGTGGGTCTAAACCTAATCCAATATGACAAAGGAAACGGTTACAGACCAGGCCCAGAACTCGAACCCAAATAACATTGAGCCCATACACCATGGGCCGGGGGCGTTGCCCCTGGAACCCACTCGCTGACCGGGCAGCGAGACCCCCGACTACCAGTCGTAGCGGCTGATAGTCTGATTCAAGTCACATCAACAAATCTCCACCTTGACTTGAATCCTCTTCCTCTGAAACCTCTGATATACTTTGTTTCTTCTCTCTTTCTCCCGCCATCAATGCCCCGCACGGCGGAGTCACCCACTCAAGACATTCAGCAAGTCCAAGCAGTGTTGGAACTAGCCATGTGGAACCGGCTTCGTGAACATATCAGTAGGATTATCAGCGGTGCCAACCTTCTTCACCTTAATCCTCATCTCTGTCCTCAAGAAATGATACCTCACGTCGATGTGCTTAGTCCTCTCATGGTGGACTTGATCCTTGGCCAAACATATTGCACTCAAACTGTCGCAATACACCACTGCCTGATCATGATGTAGACCCAGATCACCAACCAGTCTCTTCAACCATATTCCCTCCTTAGCAGCTTCTGTCAACGCCATATACTCTGCCTAAGTAGTAGACAATGTCACCGCCTACTGCAGAGTTGCCTTCCAGCTCACTACAGAACTCCCAAGAGTGAATACATAACCGATCATCGATCTACTCGTGTCAACATCTCCGGCATAGTCCGAGTTAGAATACCCAGACACCAAGCACTCTGTATCACTTCCGAAGCTAATCCCCACATCAGGTGTTCCCTTAAGGTACGAATATCCTCTTCACAGCCTGCCAATGGTCCTTCCCAGGTTGTATCATAAACCTGCTGACAACACTAACAGCCCCTGGACCCCACTCGCTGACCGGGAAGCGAGACCCCCGACTACCAGTCGTAGCGGCTGATAGTCTGATTCAAGTCACAGCAACAGATTGTTGTGGCATTATTCTCCTTCTGGTGAGTGCACGGTCAAATCAGACTATCAAGTCCTCACCAATGAACTTCTAGCATGTGTTCCCCCGCCTGTTTTGCCATTTGATTGCAGGTTCTGGAAATTCCTCTGAAGCTTGCCAGTTCCTCCAAAATTAAGAAATTTCGCATGGCGCTTTGCCCGCGGGTTTTTGCCTATTATGACGGCTTTATTCTCTAAGAAGCTGGTGACTTCCACGACATGCCCCGTTTGTTCGAATGGGGAGGAAACTTTCCAACACTGTTTTTCCAGTGTCGAATAGCCGCAGGGGTGTGGCGGCTTGCTGGGAAAGAGACTCTTCGTCTTCAGCTGGCACATCTTGACCTCACTAATATTTGGAAAAGCCTATTCTTTTCTCTTCATTTGTCGAAACTGCATGTGGCGGATGTTGTTTTCTTGTTCTGGAGGATATGGAAAGGAAGATGTTGGGTTGTGCGTGGTGGGATTCAATTCCTTCCCTCTGCATTACATCGTCAATTTGTTCTTCAAGTGGAGGGATGGCGTACTACAGTCTGTTCGGAACCTTCTCGATCAAACACGCAACCTCGGGGTGCTTGCCCGCCCCTAACAGGTACTCTACAATCCATGGTGATGTCGGCAGCATTACCTCCCTTGACGTCAATAGTCGTTGGCTTTGCTGGATGGGTCCGTCGAGGATAGAGTGTTGGAGTGGGCTTTGTGGGGCATGATCTGTCAAACAATCTTTTATTTGCCATGGGTAGGTTTTATGATGGTATCGATGACTCTTTTCTTGCTGCTTTTTTTGGCTTTTTCGTGATGCTGCTTTGTTGGATTTTCGTGATGCTTTGGACTGGTGCTTAACCCATCATTTTCTGTTGGTCCGCTGTCATGGGGATTCCATTGTGGCTGTTCGGCGGCTATTGGTGGGAGGTTCCGAGCATGTGACAGGAGGGGAGATCCTAGAAGACATCTATAGGCTAGCAAAAGCTTTTGAGTTTTGTTCTTGCTCCCATGTTACTCTTCGAGTTAATAGAGCAACCCATTTTCTGGCAAAAAACGCTCTTTCATCAAAAGTTCGACGATTAGTCGACTTTCGCCTGTGGATTGATTCTTTTCTCTGACTATGTATCCGGACCTCGGTCTGGGTTTGACTATGATAAAAAAAAAAATTATAAATACTCGACACAAATTAATCCTAAAATTATATTTGAACCGGTCGGTTTAAACTTGAAAAGGCAATCCCTCTTTACTTCATCGGGCCCGTAAGTAACCTAGCCGGCCGAGGCCCAGTTCCATCACCCGCTGCTGTTTCACACTAAGGCCCAATTAATTCACAGTAAACAGACCCAAACATCCCGTAGGCGGGCCTTCGAACCATATTGCCCAGTCATGCGAGTCGGGCCACACCAATTAAACTGATTGGACTTTCACTTCGCCCAACGGGAAAAAAGATAGCAGGGAAAACAAAATTATCATCTTCCGTACTTCTGAATTTTTCCTCGGTTGCTTTCGTCGCAGGCTCCCCAATTCCCTCGTTGCGGATCTTGTCTCTCGATCTGGTTGTCACTGAAACAGTATCTCCTCCATTTCTCCATTTTCGTTTCCGTTGTACTGTTCTCTGCTCTCTCTTTCCAGTGAAACCCTGCAATGTCGACGAACGAAGATCCTGAATTTCAAGATGCGATAGAACCTCCCCCGGCTCCGGCTCCGGCTCCGGCTCCGGCTCCGGCTCCAGAATCTACTTCAACAGAGAAACACGAATCTTCACCGGTGAATGTGCAGGTTTCAGTTGGGGAGCCAGAATCCGAGGCTCTAGCGAATCGAGAGTCTGAACTGGTGACAGAAGTGCCAGAGGCCGTGGACGAGCATGAACCTGAGCCAGCACCAGCTCCAGTTCCACCAGGAATGGCCGATTCGGATTCGAAGGTTGACGAGGAGAAGGAGCCAAAAGAAGCTGCGATTCATTCCAATGGAGATGCGGAAGCTCAGTCAAACGACCGAGCTCAGATGCGAAAAGACGAAGGGAACCGGACGTTTACGATGAGAGAACTGCTCACTGAGTTGAAAACCGAGGAAGGAGAAGATGCTGGCTCCCCTTACAGGTTTGGGGTTTCTGTTTGCATTAACGCGAAATTCTATTCAATCACCGCTCAGTTACTGCTTGGATTCTGATCTTAGCTTTTAGGATGCATGCTTGAAGATGTTAGTGTGTGTACGATTGGATCCATGCCGCTCTTTCCCTTGCTTGCTTCTGAATCTGACATAGGAATTGTTCATTTTAGAATCATGATTGTTGGCAATTAGTATCGATTGTGAGCCTACTTGTGGTGTGATGAGAGACTCATGGCATTAAGATCTGAAGATGTTATTTTCCTTTCTGGTGATTGAGTGGAATGTGCATGCTCTTTTGTCCTTACTGTCTCAGTAGCTCATTGTATTTTTCTTCAATGTTAATTGTTTCAGTCAAGAAACCCCACAACAACATGCAGCAGAGCAGACTAATGCTGCCATGGAGTTGATAAATAGTATCACTGGTGTCGACGAGGAGGGTCGGTCTCGTCAAAGAATTCTGACGTTTGCTGCAAAAAGGTGATGCCTTCTTCATCTCAATCATCTTTCTTTCTTCCCCATGTGCTGTTCTCAAAACCCTGATCATGATGTTGATCATGGCATTTGTTTTGGCCAAATGTACTGACTTGGATTAAAATGGATAGTGATGGATTTTCATTCTGATGTCCACCATAGTACGAACATAACTTACGGTATTTTTCTTTTCTTGGGATAATCTTTGTTCATACTCATCGTCTTAATAACAACTCAATAGGTATGCCACTGCGATTGAGAGAAACCCGGATGACTATGATGCTCTCTACAATTGGGCTTTGGTTCTTCAGGTTTTGAGACTTTTCTTTATTTTTCCAATTCAGTAGCATTTGAAATCTCTAGATGATGTCCATTGATGCTATTTTCATTTGATTCATAGGAAAGTGCTGACAATGTTAACCCAGAATCAACCTCACCTTCAAAAGATGCTTTGCTTGAGGAAGCTTGCAGAAAGTATGATGAGGCTACACGTCTTTGCCCGACACTTCATGATGTATGTATGGGTGGTTATTTCCTGAACTTGAGTAATTTGATTCATGGGGTATCATATTACGAGTTCAACGTGTGCATGCTGCTCCTGTTGATGGTTGCAGCCATAAATCCTGTGGTATGATTTTTGGACAGGCTTTCTACAATTGGGCTATAGCAATTTCTGATCGAGCAAAAATACGTGGCCGTACAAAGGAGGCTGAAGAACTCTGGAAGCAGGTTGACCACAACTTTGATATTATAACTATCACTTTCTTGTCAAGTTGGAAATGCTGCATACATATGACGGTGTTTGGTCAAAGGCTAAGTATTCACTTGAGATCGGAGTAACTAATTCACCATATTTCGTAGGTGATCTGGGAATAACTAGATCACTAGAGAACACTCCGTGCAAATAGTCTCACCAATGAACATGCTAGAAGTGATAAAATAAAAGGCTGCTTTTAGTTAATGCTATTGGTGGTGTTGGCTTCATTGCCTTAATACAGTTTCATATGTAGCTTAATATTGCTTCAGCGTGCTGGTAGTGTACAAAGGATACATATGACGTTTTATGGAGAAATTCATTCTTGTTCATTTTTCAGGCAACAACGAACTATGAAAAAGCTGTTCAACTTAATTGGAATAGTCCACAGGTATGTCCATCTAAAGCTCTGTAAATGTCCCCCTCAAGCTTATGTCTGCCTTTCCGCATATGCTTGTTTGGTTTACTGTTTGTTTAGTAATGTAATTATGCATTGAAATACTTTTCAGGCGCTTAACAATTGGGGACTTGCTCTACAGGTAATTCTAGCCATGTACTCGACGTCTGTAGAATGTAGATTCGTACTTCACAGAATTCTTTCTGCTTAAATTACCAGTCCTACCTCTGATTCATCAAATGGTTTTGAGAACAGTTTTTGTAGCATAACTTGATTCTATTGTGATTTTACAATTCAGGAACTCAGTGCAATTGTTCCAGCTCGCGAAAAGCAGAAAATTGTGAAAACAGCAATCAGTAAGGTATTAGAAGTTGCATTTTGGAACAATTTGTAAAATAGTTTTGGCATCTAATGACTCCTGGGTGGTCGTAGCCCTGTATCCGTTCTCAGATTTTGCTTACTCACTTTATGATGCAGTTCCGAGCTGCAATAAGGCTGCAATTTGATTTTCATCGAGCAATCTACAATCTTGGGACCGTTCTGGTACTTTTCTTACTATTTCCATGGGTGGATTATTTTTATTCTTAGCTCTTGGCTCTTTTTCTTTCGTTCACCTCCCTTTTTGGGGGGGAAGCAAGACAGAACCCATCTTCGATTATCCTCTTCTAAACTGAATGACGGAAAATGCTAAATTAGTTGTGTCTTCTTTCTGCAGTATGGACTGGCAGAGGACATGATGAGGGCTGGTGCAGGAACGAATCCTAAGGACATTTCCCCTAATGAGTTGTACAGCCAATCTGCTATATACATTGCAGCTGCACATGCATTGAAGCCAAATTACTCTGTGAGTACCTACATATTTTGGAGTTTTGCTTTTATTATAGGCTTTTGGTATTAGTATGCACTTAACCGCACCAGAAAGTTACTTTAAGCTTCACTGGTCAACTTAAATCACATAATTTTTCTTCAGAGAAGCTCATTTTGTCTAATACAAATCGTTAGTACTCTCTTCTTTAGAATGATGGTTATCTTCTGTTGATGTTTTGCATACAGGTATACAGCAGTGCTTTGCGGCTTGTGCGTTCCATGGTTAGTATTACAGTTTTGCTCAAATACAAGTCTCACAGTTGTTTATTCTGTGATGCTTCTGGGTGATCCTTCGTCTGTCAATCAGTAACTAAATGAATACCATTTTTTAGTCACATTATCTTCCATGCACTTATTAATTGTTTGGTCTTCCGGTGGCATTATTCATATAAACTCCCTAATACTTTTTTTTTATGTCTTCATGAACGATAAACCATGCTTAACAACTCACCTTATGGCTCTGCTAAGCTTTGCTAGTCTACTGCTTGACAACTTGATTTCCTGGGTCTCCATTAAATTAGTGATACATGCAATCCTGTAGTCTGTTTCGGTATTGATAGTGAAGAGTCGAGGATGTATTTATACGGTGTAAATTGACATTGGATTAATTGTTGGCAGTTACCACTGCCATACCTTAAAGTTGGATATCTCACTGCCCCGCCAGCCGGACGACCCATTGCACCTCATAGTGATTGGAAAAGGTCACAGTTCGTTTTGAATCATGAAGGACTTCAGCAGGTACCAAAACATAATATGCTTCATCTATCTAAGAAGAATGTCACCTCGGGGGTCTTGGATAATGAAAGGGGTCCAGTAATGATACAGGATTTCTTAGTGTTGATAGTTGATCGGTTGTCTGACATGGATATTTGTTTAGAAATGACCTTTTTTCTTTTGGTCCTTTCTTCCAAGCAGTATAACAAACCGGATCTAAAGCAAGCGCCACAAAGCCTGTCCAGGAGATCCGCAGATGGTACCAATGGTAAAAATGCTGTCAAAGTTGAAGTTCCAGATATTACTTCAGTGTCAGCATGTGCGGATTTGACGTTGCCACCAGGCCCCGCCCTTTGTGTTGATACAATTCACGGACCAGTTTACTTGGTAAGCTTAAAATCTAAGTTCATATGTAACACCGATAGAGGTTCTATGTGCTGGTTAAAGAAGTTAGGGAGGGCTACTAACTTTTTGCTCCATACTACTGCAATATGTACGATCATTACTGTGTGAACCAACATCAGACTCATTGAGAAAACAATATTGAATCATATTTAGAAACCTAATGGAAGAATGGCAGACTTTGTTCAAAGTTTTGATAGGTCAAGTAAGATATGTAAACCTCCTTGTGCCATGACTGAACTGTAAAATGCATCGCTCATCTCTTTCTCTGTTTCATTATATGCAGATTGCCGACTCATGGGAGTACTTGGATGGATGGCTTGATGCAATTCGCCTCGTCTACACGATCTATGCACGAGGTAAGAGTGATGTCCTAGCTTCCATCGTAACCAGCTGATTTATGAAGTTCTCTTGCGTCCACCAAGCCATAGAACATCATTGTGAAATTATAGCTTCGTGCATCCCAATTCGGACTTGTGGAATAACAAAATTTGTATATTGTAGAATCACTGTTTCAGCGCTTGATTCTTTTGTGAAACTTTTGCTGTATCATCAATGAAGTAAGAGACACAGTGGCTTCCCCCCCATTCTGCTGCAAAGTGCAAAGTTTGGTTCGTCATTTGTCGGTCTTCTGCGAGTTATAATATGCAAAGTGTGATGATTCTTACTGTAAATCACTCAAATTTTCTATTAGTTTCTTTAGATCATTCCAGTATGCACCGGTATTGAAGCTCGAGGAATCGGGATTCGGTAGGGGCTTGTGAGTAGGCTAAGCATTGTATCAAGAACTCCTTGCCTAGGAACCCACAAACTTCATGCAGATCGGCGGTTTGACCTTAGCCAGAGCAAGAACCGCCGACGGAAGAGTCCACAGCCCTTCCCCACAAATCAACCCAGAAGCAACCGCCGGGATCATAAACTCTGCCTTCCTCGGCTTCAGTTTGCTCCAAGCATACACAACTAAGCTTCCGATGCACATATCGATGGCGAAATACGCCCCGACCAGAAACGGAATAGCCATCACCATCGGCAACGGCATCCATCTTCTCACTACCTTCCCAGGAGCTGCGTCCCTCACCATATTAACCCCCACCGCGAAGGCGAAAAACCCGTAACAGAGCTGCAAGCAATGCCGTGGCAGAGCCGAGAAGCCCTCCACCCCTAGAATCGCCATGTTTCTGTATATCAAGGCATACGGAGCTTTGAACTCTCCGTACGGGTTCCCCACGTCGAATGCCTTGTAGAACAAGAAAAAGCTCAACGGCGCCATCAGACAGCCGATGGCAGTTCCGATCACCTGGCTCACGAACATCGCCCTCGGCGACGTCTGTGTCAGGTGAGCCGTCTTGAAGTCCTGCATCAGAATGCAGGCCACGGAGACCACGGACTTGATCAGCCCGCAGCCGGCCAGAGCTGCAACGACGCCGTTCTGTTTCCCGGCCACAGCTGCGAGCACAAACAGAGCAATTTTGCCGTAGTTGTAAGCCATGTTGATATCGGTTAAGCCGGCGCCGTAGGCGTTGCAGAAGGCCAGAGATGGAGCGAGCACGTATGCTACGACGACGTAGTACCATTTGAGCTGTGGGAATATGGTCGGAACCACGATTGTGGACAGGATTGAGAAGGCTATGTAGCCCGCCATTGCTACCCACATGGGTATCTTCTCTCGCAGGAAAAGCTCTATTTCTTTCTTATCCTCCTGAACTTCCCCTGCCCATATCAACAAAGAGTTTCCACTTTCAGGCAACAAAGATTGAAACTTTTCTAACTCGCCGAAAATTTGGCGCTCGTAGTTCATTACCTTCTGGTTTCAGCTTCTTGTTCTTCAACCTTCCGTGGATGTTGATGATTGTGAAGCTCATAATCTTTATGAAGTTGTAGATCCCATCTCCAAGGATGAGTGCCACAGACAGGAAGACCTGTTGCCACAAAGAAAGAAACAGAGGAAAAGATTAAAAACACCAATCAGAATAGGTCACAACCTTGTTTTCACAGAAGAGGATTTGGAACCTTGTAACCATATAAGCTCTTCATGCTGCTTTCTTGCAAATCGGCTTCGAACCACTTCCCTTTGAGGCCGCCGATGAGCGGCCACATGATCCCGTAAGATAGCACAGCTCCGAAAAGCAGAGACAGGTTGACTTGGTGGGAGACGATCATCCCTGCTCCCACATACGTTGTGTTGAAATCAAAGAAAAACCTGACAAACCAGACCATTCCGTGTAAAAAGCTGCTTAGTAACGAAATCATAGAACTCTTTGTCTCTGTTGAGCTTACGTTTGCTTCCAAGCTTTCAACCCAAAGGTAGGGAACTGGTTGAACCCGCATTGCTCTGTTTTAGCATAGAACCACTTGAACAGTGCCCACAGGAAGGAGACTGAAAAGTACTTCATGAACCCACGCACCTGTTTTCTGTAAAAAAAACCATAAAGATCGAAACTTTTTTATCCGACGAACAGAACAACAACATGGCTGTAATCAAAATCTTGAATAAAAATACCTACTTCGCCATCTCGTCCCCTCGATTGTGGAATCCATTGATAAGAACTGCAGTCGCCAAGCCACTGGGATAAGCCAATTCCAAGTCCACTATCATCACCTGCAATCAACAAACCACCTAATTACAAAAAAACAGAATCAGCAAAGCAGGAAACTTTTTCCGAAACCCAGAAAAGAGCACAAATTACCTTTCTGAGTGGAATCAAGACGAAGAGCCCGACAAAGCAAACCACAAAAAGGTAGCCAAACATCCAACCGAACCCAGGTTCCTTGACAGCATAAGGAGAGTTTCCCTCCGTCTGCAACCCAGAAAGCTCGTATGTCTTCCTGTTGAGCGCCAACAGATAAGAAGCAAACCCGCCTCCCACCGTGATGCTGTAACAAGCGACTGCACAGGTTTGGATCATGGTGTTCTCCTGTCGAGTAAACGGCCTGGTCACGTACCCCAATTTTCCTACCAAATTGTTCCACGCCCTTATGAACACGAAAGCCAGCAGGGCGGCCGAGACGTTGAGATTTGGGACTAAGCCAGTTGTTAGGTTCAGTTTCATGGCGATCACGCTGTACATTGACCCGATCATGATGCTCACTATCAGTCCCCTGACTGTGATCTGGCGAGTCCACGGCTGAGCTCTAAAGGATCTCTCATTCAATGTCGATGGATCGTCCTCCTCGTGATCGTTATCAGCATCTTCGTTCTCCTGCTTATCTCTGGCGGCCGAAGCAGGTTCTTGCAGCTCAGTGTTCATGGCTAGCTACGTTGTGCAAACAATGACATTATGTGTGTTAAATCAATGATCTTTTTTGGGGGGGAATGAAAGCTTCTGATGAATTGCAACTTGATAACGGTGAATGAAGCTTGCAACGATTACCTTGGTGACTAGTGTTTGTGATTAATCCTCGATCTGCTGTGGCTTCAGAGAGGGAAATGGTGGATGGAATGGAAAAAAAGGGGATTTGATTTAATATATAGGAAATGGTTGGTCATGTGCCTTTGTTGAGGAGCTTGTTTTATTTCCCCCAACGAAAATGGTGACCAGTTTCGGCCGATACCTTGTCACAAATCAATTGGTCTTAACGAGATTGGGTTGTTAGCAGATTTTTTTTTCTTATATAACTGATTAGTAATCTTTATTAATGTGACACTAAGTGGGTGTCATGTAATGAGAAAGAGAAGGAAACTGAGTACAGAGGAAGGAGAATTGCTGAAGAAAAACAGAATTGTGATATGTTGGTATGACAGCACTAGCTCCTGGAAAAATAATTTATTGATCATAATGCCGACTACTGCTACTTCTCCTAGTCGCTGCTATCATTGATTCTTAGCAATCATTCAGTTTGGGCCATTAGTTTGTGTGTTCGTGGTTGTTAGTTGTGTATTCTTTTTGGTAGAGATGATCTTCTCAGTCACTTTCTGCAAGTGGTTATGCTGTTCATATTTCAACGAATGCAACGCACGCCATTCAGTTCTAGACTGACCCTGCTTGGCGAGAACGACGAATGATTGTTGATTTATCGATGAGATAGATTGGAAGTTTGTTAGCAGGCTAGCTAGCTAGCTTATATTTCCTCTATCTATTCATCACAAAATAAAGTGGACTTGAAGATGAAGGGCAAAGACCAAGAACCAATAATGCATGTAGACTTGTACAAAGACAAATTCAAACAGGCAGAGATCGTCAACATATGATACAAATTGAAAGCTGGGTCAATGTGAGATTCAAAATAAAAATGCTCCCCATGACGTGGAATGACACTTTCACGATTCGAGAGATGATATGTCGTGTTGAAATTATAAATATAATTAGGGAAATTTTACAATCCTATATAGTATTGGTGTTATAAGGCTTTCCTTTTATTGTACTACTTAAAATTGTACATTTACGTTATGGTCCAACTTCAGATTATATCTATACTTTTTGTACAAATTCTTTTATGGTACAACTTGAACTTGTACCTTTATGTGATGGTACAACTTCAAGTTGTAAAGTTGTACCATAACATAATGGTACAAATTGTTTTATGATACAACCTAAACTAATACATTTAATGTTATGGTACAAATTTAAGTTGTACATTAAAACACCAATACTATATAGCATAGTAGAAGTGCTCATATAATTAATGATCCAACTGTAGAGGAATTTTACAATGCTATATAACATTGGTGCTATAAGTTTTTTCTTTATGGTACAATTTGAAATTGTACCTGTAACGTTATGGTACAACTTCATATTGTACCTATACTTTTTGTACAAATTCTTTTATGGTACAACTTAAACTTGTACCTTATGTGATGGTACAACTTCAAATTGTAAAGTTGTACCATAACACAATGATACAAATTCCTTTATGGTACCATCTAAACTTATACATTTAATGTTATGGTACAACTTCAAGTTGTACATTAAAGCACCAATACTATATAGCATAGTAGAAGTGCTCTCCAACTGCTATAATTATAGTGTGATAATTGAGTTTGGAAAATCTGATGAGGATCGAATTCATTTATATCATGGTTTAATGTGTCATCCAACTTGATTTTGCATGGATTCTATATATTGGTTGTATCCTATAACAGTCGTTTTGGATCATCTCAAAAGGATTTTTGTTTCAATTGTATACTTATGGTAAATAAGAAAAACGTGTAGTTTAAATGCCCATGAATACAATTTCAAAATTGAATATTAGAGTCATTTGAGATTATGCACTATCTCATCATAATGAACAATTAAATGTCGATGAACACAATTTCAAATGGAAAATTAGAGTTTACTTCTAACATTAACCAATTAAATAAGCACATGTAATCTGGTGACTGTTTTTACGGATCGGACAACTGGAAGATCAACGGAGCAAGAAAACGAAAGAACGAAATGTAACAAAATATACAGATTTATGTGGTTCACTACCACGATGTGTGTTAGCTAGCTAGTCCACGTGCAGGAGAGGGCCAATTTCACTATAATTTTAGAAGAGATACAAATTACAGAAGACATTGAGAAGTATTTATAATACTTATCCATGTGGTCTAACCCTAATCCATTCTGATAAAAAATAAGGTTACAAATCAAGCATAGAACATAAACCCAATCAATAATACATGTAGTCTGATTCAAGTCTTATCAGCAAGTAGGTTTGAAGTTTTTTTTCTTTTTCTTTTTTGAAAGAAGGTTTGATTGAGATAAACTTGTAAAAATAAGAAACAATTCCTTGCAATGTGAAAATGGACAGCGGGTAATTCAAGTGACTCGCAAACCACTCATTACCTATTCGAGTAAGTACATGTATAAGACTTACGATCAATAATTCACTCATATTAATTACTCATCCACCATTATAATAATAATTATTTACAGGTGAATTGATATCCGATACTTGTGAGTTGTGAGCCATAACACGAGCAATCCAAGCGTGGAACAAGATGTGGGAAAGATAATTTAGCTTGGGGTAAAGAAAATTTATTGGATAGTCAATGGACAGAAGAAACACCGTGGGCGGTGATGGTAGGTTGATTCTGGGCCTGTCCAACTTGTGAAAAGAAACCATCCAAACTTAGCAGGCCCAGTAATATAATTAATTAACCATCGAGGCCCCCAAAACACTCTTTGTGTTGAAAGGCCAAACACAATCCTGATGGGCCGGGCTGGAAGGAAACAAACACAAAGCCCGTTCTCCTCCTCCCACAACTCGATACAACAGCAGCAGCAGCAGGCCAGCTGGAAATCCCCTTACCACGCGGCAAACTCGTAAACAGGTGGCTCCAACAAAACGACAAAATACGAAAAGGTCCCCCCCAAAACCAACTTTGTCTTCTAGTCCTCCCTCTGCCGCCGCCACCGGTCTCAAACAAAACCCGCGTGCTTCCCCACCCCCAGAATTCCCTACCGCCATTTCCGCCAACCCTCTGCCCCTCCCACTACAAAACCCATCCCGCCGTTCTTCCCCCATTTACCACCTCGAACAACAACAAAAAAAAAAAAAAAAAGGGAAACGTTTACGCAGCAAAGAACAATCGCCAAGATGTGCCGAACAACAGATTTCGACGGATTCAATTTCAAGCCCAGAAGCAGGAACCCGCTCAAGATCAAATCCTTCTTCTGCCGCTTCTCCGGCTTCCACCGCCGCACCTCCTTCCCCGACTCCCTCACCCTCTGCTTCCTCCCCCGGGTCAACGGGACGGAGCTCCAGATCGACGGCTCCAAGACCCGGCCCGACTCCACCGCCTTCCTCGAGCTCCACCGGCTCGTCGACGTCAAATCGAAGTCCGGCGAGGCGGTCTACGGCTCCAGGGAATCGGTCAAATCCACCGGCGGGGTCAGCTTCGAGGTCTACCTGCGGGACGAGCGACTCCTGGAAGGGATCTTCACCAAGGACGAGGAACACGAGTGGAATCTCGAGTGCCGGTGTCGCGTCGAGAACGCCGCCGTCGTCGGATGCGCGGCGGCGGCGGCGGCGGATGTCTGCGTGGCGGTGGAGGATCGGGTGGCGGCGTTGAGCGAGAGAGTGAGGTTGGTAGCTCCGCCGAGGAGGAAGAAAGGAGGGAGCTGCCGCAAAGGGCGGCGGATTGACAGGCTGGTTGTGATCCCCGAGGACGCGGAGGATGACGACGACGATGATGAATCGGACGGTCCGTGTTGCTGCGATTGCGATGGTACGGATGGTGGATCTAGCGGTGGCGAGTGGGAGGAAGTGAGTGGGCCGGGCTCGCCTGGTAGTGAGGGGACGGATGAGGAGATGGACTTGGAGGGAGTTGGATGGGCCGTGGATGTTGGGCTTTGGGTCATGTGTTTGGGTGTGGGCTACTTGGTCTCTAAGGCCTCAACCAAGCGGCTTAGGCGCATGAGGATACTCTGACCAAATAGAGAGAAAAAAAAAAACGAACGTATTTGTTCATAATTGTAATTATCGGAATAGATGCTGACTAAACTTAGTTAATGACTAATGAGTTGTGACATTGTAAGGAATTCCTTCGTGTAAATGACTGTTTACACGATGCTGAAATCGTATTAGAAATATCGATTCGGTTTTGTTCAAGTGTGTGATACTTTGCAATCGTTGTGGTTGGATTGAATCAATTTGATGGATAATTGTATTATACACAAATCCAGCAAATTCTATTAATCAGAACCAGCTAATACCTACTTGCATCCTTATTTATGTATAGCTTATTACCCGACCCGTTGGCCGGATTACTGTATGTTACCCACTTGTGGAATGGGAGAGAAAGCAAGTGAGAGTGAAGGGATTGAGATTCCACTTGATTAGGACCAACCCACTAATCCAAATCTTCCCAACCCGCCCCAACCTACAGGGTCAGAAAGAGTCAATAAGAAAATACGAAAGGGGAGGATTAGTCATATATCTTGACTCTTTAGAAGTGGGTCAAACAGAATCAAGGTTGGGTGAGGGCAATTTTTAGCGCTAAGCAGAGTTCTGGGTTGAATACCTTTACTTAGGCCTAGAAATTGGTGCTGATGCACACTGCAGTTTTTATTATACCATCATCAATCATCATTGAATTAGTACTGGACATCCCTCCCCGTTGTCGGTCTGAATTCTAATGATGGCTTCATTCCTTGCACCAGCCATATCAGCGAGTTGCCATCTCAAGCATGATTTGCCTATGTACAAATAATACAATTAGAATATGAAAATGAATTCAATGAAAAGGAAAAGAGAATTCTATCACATGCCAATAAATACACACATAATAGTTGAAGCTAAGTGAAAGTCATTACTCGCACATCAATTTTCAAAAATTACAGACTAAACATTGGCTAGAATGGCACTGAAACTACCAAGAATCATGGACGAAACAACTTGTCAAATTAAATAATCCTTATACTGAAACTACCTTCTAACTTGAAATAAGACATGATCACAGTTCATAGCTCTCTTCTCACTATGAATTGGTTGCAGCTCGTCCTTATCACTGCCTCTCAAGCTCAATTCAAACATAATAGAGACCGTTGTGTAAGATAACCATATTCTTACTGATCATAATTCCTTTCTTCACTCCATTTTTGTCGGAGAAAAGAGTTATCCCCCTCTCCTACATTTTCCTTTCCCCCTCTCTTCTCCCTCTTCTTCACAAACCGATCCCTAAACCAGCAACAACAACACAAAAATAGCCTTCGCCTCTCCCGTCTCCATCTATTGAACGCGTTGGTGGCAAGACAGGACTGCAGAAGCAAAATTTTCTAAAATCAAACTAAATTTTTTGAAGCAGACTCAACCACGAAAAAAGAGTAAAGCAACAATGCAGTAGAACCCTAAATTTAACTACAATCAAGCACATATCAGCAAGATTTTCGATTTGTCTGAGAGTTAACTACACGGAGAGAACAATTGATGCATAATTGAAATGCTCCAAGCAAGTTGAAGGCAAACCATAACTTTAGAATTTGGTCATTATAATAACCTTCAAGTATTGATGCTTCTAAGAACTATCATGTCCAACCCCCACTTATACAACTACGTAGCCATAGTAATTAGTTGTATAATGAGAAATATTACAAAGAAAACTACATAAACAACCAATGTAAGTAAATATTAAAACTAACAACTGATAAAACTTAAAATCTCTCTATTGGTATAAATGTATCTATTAGTAACTACTATGCAATCGAGTATATATGATTTTTAGGCACTGAATAAGAAAAGTATAGATGGCTCACAAATGAAGACGTAGCAACTGAAGGTAGCACACAAAAACCAAAAATAGAAAAAGAGATAAGAAAAAAGGCGAGAAAAAGTCAAACAAAGAAAAAGCCTTCATAGGAATACCTCGCTAGCTTTAGGGACTCTCTGCCACAACAAACAACCTTCTTAAAAATCTAAAACCCTGAGACATCAAACAAACCTCCCACGACACTAATGTATGACATTCCTATTGTCCAATAGGTTTGCCCAATTTAGACTTCTAAATAAATGGACTTTTCACCATTAAACCAAAACTCACAATCATTAACAGTTAATGCAAAGACATACATTTCTGAGGCCAATCACAGCATTTAAGCATAATTTTTAGTTGAAAAGAACAACTAAGTATTTAGCTAAATGATATAGTAGAATGGACACAATCTGCTACCTACTAATGATATAAACGTGTACCGGTACCATCGTTGTATCCTGACTTGCCATTTGCAACGGGCACTTTGAAAGACAGCTGCATTTTAGAGAACAAACACCCATAAGGGCGTTACGAAACCAAGCTTAATCCAAAATCTTCATATTCCACTTCGAAGACTCCATTTTCAAAAATAAGAGAGTTTAACATGTCAAATCACTCATTTGAAAAATCTCAAACAACTATTAATCAAGGCAATATAAAGGCACGTTCCAAATTATGTACTTGTAGGAATAATCCCAAATAATTATCAATTAATGCCCCAACTATCTAATGTGCAGAATAGCCCTGGAGCTGTGCTGTTGTTTGCGTTGGTCTACTTTCAAACATAACATAGTTGCATCACGAACCAAAGCAATTAAGCAAAAATCTTCATATTCCAAATAGAATGACTCAATTCAATTTGGCCAACGCTTTATACATATTGTTTACCCCTGGACCTGTTGCACTTGCGCCTTCAGATCTTCGTGAACACAATACAATTGCGGAGAGGAGGCTGTCAACGGAATAAAAATTGTTAATTAAGTGAATCACCATACAACTAAACAAACGCGCTCTTCTTGATTAGCTATCAAAATAGTGGGGGTCGCTACAATCCATCGGTTGCCCCCTCTGCGCTTAAGTTGTAGATATTAGGTTTCAGTGAGAACTTTGAGTACATGAGGAGATATTTTGTAGTGGAGGAGATGACCCGGCGAGTAGAATAGGAAGATTTGGAGAGGTTGCGATGGGCAAAGCAGTTAAAATCGAGATTTTACCTAAAATCGAAAACTGGGGTAAAATCAAAATCGTATAATCGAATCGTAAAATCGTAGGATTTTAAGTACCATATAGAACATAGCATATAAGAATATTAATAAGGTAAATTATTAATATCACAAAGACACATAGCATTTAAAATGATAATTCGGAAGATTTTTTTTCCATAAGATAATTCTCAAGATTAATGTCCCAAAATCACTATTTTAATTGTTATTTAATGTGTAACTCAAAATAATTCATGATGAAGGGATATAGTTCATGGGTTTGGCTCTTATTTTCATATTATGTCTAGGTTGTTTAACTCAAAGTAATATTTCGACATCGTCTACTAAGTATGATTTAAAACTAAAAATAATTGAACTCCAATAAAATAAGTAATGTTAGTGGCTTGGTACAAATATATTCATTAATGAATTAATTAGTTAATAATGATGTTAGTTCTTACATACTTCCAATATTAGGGCAGGTGTTTTACCAATAAGTTAAATGGGGTGAAGGGAAAGAGATTAACCGAACCATAATTTGGTTATTTTTATTATTTTTGAATATTTTTCTAATAGAAAAATATCTGAGAAGATTCCATTGCCCTTTCCGCTGAAACAGTTATACTTATTTTAAATTGGCTCAAACCACCTATTTTGTTCTCTTACGATCAAAATCCCGATTTCGGTACTATTTTACGATTTTAACGATTTTAGTCCCGATTTTAAACGATTTTAAGGTCCACCGATTTTATAGTAAAATCAAGATCGGAATCCCTAAGTAAAATCCTAAAATCCTACGATTTTACGATCAAAATCCCGAATTTGACTGCATTGGCGATGGGTGCACGATTAGTGGGCCAAATAACAGTTTGGGCCCGTTTAAATGAAAACATATTTTTACTTTCGTGCTCAACAGACCGACCACACTGGCATCTTCTAAATTTACCCCTAAAAAATTGCTCTGTACGCATCAAATTTGAAATGGAATCCCTCTTTTCTCATTTCACATTTCACATTTATATGATGTGTAGATTGTGATGAGTGTAGATGTAGACCTGTCATTGTCCTACAAATTCATTAACACGCCAAAAAGTGGTGAAATGAGCCACCCTATTAAACACAATCTTGTATAATGATCATTGGATCCAATCATGCCAGATTATGAAGAAGTTTAAAATGTAGCGGTTATCCCGACTAAACCATTAAAAGAACCAGTCTCATATAGTTTGCACAAAGATATAATTTCTCCATAGTAATTCTGAAAAATAATATTAATTTAAGAAGTCGATATTGCTTCTACTTTTTTAATATTGCAATTCGATATGCAATATTCGAACCAGTGATATTTGGGCTGCAATTTTAGGGTTATTGTATATTTATAAAATAGATAGAAATTTAAATTAAGTATTAAACTACAACTAAAATAATCAAAGTATTAAAACACCAAATAAGTACTTACGGGAGATTTAGTGGCCAACTAATCGTTAAAAAAGTCATATGATTTTCATAATTTAGGTTCGTGTGTGTTTGAATTTAAATAGATACAACAAATATACTTAGTGTGATTGGTTATGATCCTTGCTTGCCTTTAAATGGACCAAGGTTCAAATCCCAGTTCATGCCTTTTTTATGAATAAATAAATAAGAAAATAAGCAATTGTGAAGACCAAAATGTCCTTCCTATAATCACTCTCGTTGCAGGAAATTTGAAATGGAGCAACAGTTTTCATCATTCGGCTTTTATTTATTATCTAGATTATTACGACAGTGGTTTTCATTTTCAAATAATGTTCTCTCAATTTTATCACTCAGTTAGACGGCCGGGATGTTGGCTAGTAAGCTTGAAATGAAATAGTTTTGAGTAAAATAGGGGTGGAAAAATGGTTCATTCAATTTAAAAAGCAATTGATCCAAGTGCATGCCAACCCTTATTTTCGCGAATCTCACCCCCTTCATTCTTCCACAGACCAAACTCCATT